GAAGGAAGGAAGGAAGGAAGGAAGGAAGGAAGGAAGGAAGGAAGGAAGGAAGGAAGGAAGGATGTCACCATGCTGTTTTATGCACTGCTAGAGATCAAATCCAGGGCCTGGAATCCAGGGCATGCAAGCACTCTACCAACTGAGCTATATGCCCAGCCCAGATTTTTAAACTTTTAATTGACTGACATTTAGCCACCTGGGTCTGGACTGCCATTCTGGAAAGCACAGTTCCAAGTGATGTGCTCCCACCCACCCTACTCCGTCTTGCCTGAGCCTGCATCACACTGTCCAAGCTAGTACAAAGCCAGCTGGCAAGTCTCCAGTTTCCCATTTTACTGAAAATTAAAGCCAGGGCTGGGAATGTAGCCTATGGAGGTGGCCCTCAGTCCACAGTGATCAATGAATAAATGAATCAAAAAGACATTCCTCTTCTTTCTCTTCAAGGCTTTATGTGACCTGGCGATGCCACCCATCTCTGACCTCAGGCCCCATCCAGCTCTCTTCCATGTTCACTCCACTCCATCACAAGGCTACTTAGAGCAGCACACCACTTATGCTGTTGCCTGGGGGCCTTTGCTCATGCTGTTCTCTTGGCCTGGAACACTCTGCCAATAGTGATCTGAAGAACTTAGGGCTCCCTTCCTTTTTTCCTTCAGGACTCCCCGAAGTTGCTGTGAAAAGGGCTGACCTAACCCTGCCCAAATGGAAGCCCTGTCAAAAACAGCACCCTCCCATCCACTCACTCCATCTGCATACTCTGCCTTTTTATAGCACTTTCCTCCCTCTGATACAGCATATGTTTGTCTATTGTCTATCTCCCCAGCAAGGGAAAAGTCTCTCAGAATACTGCTAATATTCCAAATAGCACCCAGCTCAGAACTGGCACTCAACAATAATGATAATAATAAAGCATTCTTATACAAAAATGAATTGCATGTGGTTGGCTTCCTGGTGTAAGGCTTTCTAAAAGTCTCCCCTTTAGCTGGGGACCCAGCACTGTTCTGAACTATTCCTTGGGGAGGAGGTGGGGAGTGTCTTCTCTTAGGCCTCGCCTCAGTGAGGAAACCTCTGTCTTGGCTCTGTTACCTCTACTCATCACCACAACCTTCTCACCAGTATGGAGACAGAGAGGTTAGGTGACTACTTCAGCACAGCTGGGGTCATCTTCCCCTGCTTCTCCTGATGGGATTTTCATAACCAACAGGAAAATGTCCCGATGGCAGCTACAGAGATACGCATTTAAGTGACCACGCGGCTTCACCATTAAACATCTCTACCAACTCTATGCCTTGATAGGGGAAAAATGAGAAAAACTATTTGTGTAACAGAATAAATGAAAAGTAATTTAATATAATTAACAGAAAGTGAATTCTAATCCCATTTCTTTTAATAGGGAGAGTGAACACAGTCCCAAGATACTACAAATTATGCAGTTTCCTGAATTTCTAGAAATTCTGGGGCCAGCGCATCCAGAAGGCAATGGATGAGCCTCATCCTGGGAAAGCCATCTTCATGATCACAGTACCTCCCTTCCTCCCCTAAGTGTCCCAAGCCCTTCTTATAAAATTGCCATTGGATTTTCAAAATACTGTGCTAAATAAAGCATTATTGCCTTCGTGTTTGGAAATGCTGCTGTTGAGAGTGCTGCTGTTCACACTGGAATGTTTATAGTCAGCAAATAAAGGGACGGTTCATGAATCTAAGACCAGTCCAAGAGACTGGAGACCTTCCTCTTCACCTGCTAGGCAAAACTGAAGGTTATTTTTCCCTCTTTCTTTTTTTATAGTCACATATTAACAAGGAACAGTCAATTCAAGTCACAGGGAGAAAAATTAATATTTGGTCATTAGTTCTAATTATGTAAACCATGAAAACTTCTGTTGGAAATGTCAAACCATATACATCAATGTATTTTCATACCGTTGGCTACAAAAATAAAGGTGTGGTGGTGGCCATTCACCAGACAGGAGACCTAAGGAATTGTAGCTATGTGAAGACTCCTGTGTCCAACACTTTGCTTGTCAACTATAGGTGACAGGTCAAGCAATTTGCTGCACAGTACAGCCTCTGTGACATATTCAGGAAAGATCAAGTTCTCCTGAGTTCCCTGCAGTCAGTCACCCAAATCCAATGATTATCCTTCAATGGGTGTGTCCACTTGCGTGCACATAAGTGTTTGCTTGTGTATATTAGAGAGGGAAAGAGAGAAATAGAGACAGAATAAATTTCCATAGATGACCTGCTTATGACTTTTGTGACGCAATTCATTTATGAATTGCAAATTACTTTTTAAAATTACTTCTCTCAAAATACCCAGACACCTGGCCAGAGACTGCCAGCCTAATACTAAAATAGGCACCTTGATCAGCTCACCCTGCAACTTTAACCACTCAGTTGCATTTGACCATGGCAATAGATATCTTTGCCAAAAGAAATATGAACAATTCAGGGAACGCATTACAAACTTGGAATTGGTCCAGACTTGAGAAGTGATGGCTCTGTGGTCTGGAATGTCTCAAGACCAGGGCATTTTTCTCAACAAATCGGCTCTGTATAATGAAAGCAATTAAAAGGAAATCAGATGTGCACAGAGCATCTCTCTACCTAATATGGGAATAATAAAGAAGTGTCCAAAAATGTAAGCATTGGCTGACAACTGATGACTCACCTTTAAAATTGTGCAAAAGAGAAAGAGGCCAAACCGTCTGTAAAGCAATTTACAACGTATTATCAGGAGTCATAAAGATGTCAAACAGATTCCCTTTGACACAGTAATCTTACTGCTGAAATCTAATCCTAAAACATGATCCAAATGGAAAGATATTTGCTATAAAATTTGAGTCAACTGGGCCTGGTGGTACATATCTCCAATCCCAGCACTCAGGAGGCAGAGGCAGGCTGATCGCTGTGAGTTCAAGGCCAGCCTGGTCTACATAGTGAGTTCCAGGCCAGCTGGGACTACAGGGAGACCCTGTCTCAAAAAAGCCCCCCCCCCAAAAAAACTGAGTCAACCTAAGTACCTAATAATAGGAAAAATGTAAATTATGGCATAATCTTCCTAATGGAATATTATATAGCCATTAGAAACTAATTATGAAGACTGTCACCATACAGAAAAAATACTAAGGACAATGTTAAAAATCAGAATACAAATTAAATGCATTTTACAACTGCAATTATGTTAAAACATGTTTGTGAATTAAAATATATTTTCATGAAATAACAAGAACATAGCTGGGCATAGTCCCAGCACTCAGGAGACAGAGGCAGGTGGAACTCTGTGAGTTCAAGGCTAGCCTGGTCTACATAGTGAGTTCCAGGACAGCTGGGGCTACAGGGAGACCCTGTCTCAAAAAGAAAAAAAAGAAAAGAAATAACAAGAGCATGAATGTTTACCACTCTGCTCTAGCTTTTTAGAATGTCAATCTATTCTTTTGTTTTTTGAGACAGGGTTTCCCTGTAGCCCCAGCTGGCCTGGAATTTGCTATGCAGACCAAGCTGGCCTGGATCTTACAGAGATCTGCCTGCCTCTGCCTCCCAAGTGCTGAGATTAAAGGCATGCACCACCACACCTGGCCAAATAACAATTTTTTAAAAATATTTTATTTATTGTTTTTATTTTATGTGTATTAGTATATTGCCTGCATGCATATAAGTGTACCTGTGCCATACAATGCCCATGGAAGTCAGAAGAGGGTGTTGGAGTCCCCTGGAACTGGTCTTATAGACTGTTGTTAGTTGCCATGTGGGCGCTGGGAATTAAACTCTGGTCCTCTGTAAGAGCAACTAGTGCTCTTAACTACTGAGTCATCTCTCTAGCCTCCCACCCACACAAAATTTTAATTATAGATTAAGCTGGGCATGATGGCTTGAGTTCAACTTCCAGCATCCACATCAGTGTCTCACAACTGCTTGTAACTCCAGTTCCGGGAAGATCTGACCCCTCTGGCCTCTGCCAGCACCTGAACTTATGTGCATATACCTCTAAACACATACACATGCACATAATTAAAAATAATAAATACTGCTGGGTGTGGTAGCACATACCTTTAATCACAGGCTGAGCTCTGTGAGTTCAAGGCCACCTGGTCTACACTGTGAGTTCCAGGCCAGCTGATGCTACAGGGAGACCGTGTCTCAATAAATAAATAAATAAATACATACATACATACATACATAAATAAATAAATAAATAAATAAATAATAACTTTAAAGAGAGCGAGAGTTTATATACAATTATCCAATCCCCTCTAAAGTATCTAACAGCTGGGAGCAGGAAGCTTGCCAACTTTCAACAGCCAGCAGAGTGTGCATGTCAGCTTTGCTTCAACCCCTGCTACTCCCCAAAATGGAGTGGGAATGTGGATGCCAAGGCTCTTCCTTTGAGAGGCTCCTGGCTCAGACCCTTCCCAAAGGACATCAGCCTTGGGATTTTGGGTCTTGAGCCTCAGCTGTTTCCCAGAAAACAGGCTTTTTCAAAACCCAGGGGCTCAACCCATGCATCCATCCCTGTTTCTCTGGAGGGTATATAAACCCTTCCTAGACTGGACTTAGGATCCCTTGCTAAAGGTAGGAAAACACATAAACACATAACCATGAGACCTTTCTTTTAATGTCTGCTTCTCAAAAAACAGACAAAAACGAAAAAACCCACACCTAGTACACCCTGGATGCAGATCCCTACAATGTGCACACAGCTAGCCTTAATCTTAACTTCGGCTCTACCAGCCCCCCGCCCCCTCCCCCAACTCTTCATACATAAAACAAGCACAAAAGCAGAGGAGCTGCTTCTACAGATTTGCTTTACTATCTGAAGAGTAACAAGATAAGAACTCAGAAATGGGCCTGGGCTCAGAGGCTAAAGTGCTTGCTGTGTGGGCCTGACAACCTGAGTTCGATCCCCAGAACCCACCTAAAGGTACAAGGAGAGAAATGACTCCACAGCTGTCCTCTGACCTCCACATGCATGTTGTGTCATGCACACATGTTCTCTCTCTCTCTCATATGCACACATACACAAACAATAAGAAGCCATAAATTTTTCCAAAAGAACTTGGAAATGTGTGTAGGACATCACAGCCATGGTGGGGCAAATGCCTAGCCAACTCCTGGTCATTCTCACAAATCAGTAAATAAGAAATGAAAACAGATTCCACTTTCATCATTGATCTACATGAATTACACTGCTTCAAATAAAGGCCAATAATTCTTCATAGAGAAAAAAATTAATTTTATAGGATTTAAAAATAAAGCCTATCAAACTCTTCCCATGCCATCATACCTGTGCTGCTTAAAAACTGTGGAGGCCTTGGCCCAAGGCGACATTTGAGTTGGCTTTCAACAGAAAATGTGCTTCTCTACAGGAAAATGGCCACTTAAGCAAGAATGTGGAAATGATTTGTCTCACAGTACTGGAGTGGGATCTTCACTCCTGCTTTGTCATGACTGCACAATCAGTCAGGGACCAGGAGTTCCATACTCCTAAACAAAGAAAAGCACTCTAATGGCCAAAAGAGCCGAGGACCTAATGTACTCAAACTACCTTAATAAAAGTTAAATTATCCACATCCCAAAGAATAAAAATCCACTGGTAATAATGGTAATGCTTAAGTGGTAAGAACATCAGAACATAAAACAGACCTGTTTACATCGCAGGGAGGCTGTCTTCCAGGGTGGTTAGCAGCTTGCAAGCACAGTCAGGAGAAAGAAAGCAGCCACTGAGCTTGACCAGAGGCTGTGACTACGCAAGAGCAAAGGCTACTGTTTATTTTTTTTTTGCTGTAGTATTCCCAGGGCCTCAAAGCTTCCCTATAAATATTTGTTGAATGGATGAATGTACAAATAAAGGAACAGAGTTCATCAAAATAACAGCATAATTCACGTGTGAAATTAAAGAGCCAGGCATACTTAAGTCAGACAAGTGAATATTTTTGCCACATACTACATTTCGATATTGGGCACTAAAATTTAGCTATGGACCCCACATTTAGAATGTGGCTAAGCTATGAATAGAATCCCTTGGGGCCATCCTAAAAGACCATCTCCAAAGGGTCAATCATGTTCCAGAAGTTTCTTGTTTAATCTGCCTGAGAAGTTTTGAGCACACACACACACACACACACACACACACACACACACACCATTTCAAATTAATCTCTAGCTTGTTTTGTTTTGTTTGAGACAGGGTCACTCTGTAGCCACAGTGGGAACTCGCTATGTAGACCAGGCTGGCCTCATAGAGATCCGCCTGCCTCTGCCTCTCTAATCTCTACCTTCTAATTTGCTGTTCCAATTATGTGTACTAATTGCACTCATAGGCTGCTTCTAGGAAGAATAGAAAATGTGACACAGGCCCAGAGGCCTCAACTCCAAATCAGTCATCCAAGTACGCCCCACCTCCATTCTCTCCTCCTTCTCAGGTCCAGGTCCTCTCTGTGTAGGGTTTATCACAATCCAGTTACTGTGTTTTGCTGTTCACTGTTGTCTACTCTCACAGAAAGTCACTTCCAGGAGGGCAGAAACCCAGACTGCTTCAGTTACCCCTGCACCCTCACACCTGACATCTGTCAGTTTTTTCCTGAATGAATACTAGACCCAAGGAAAATGTACATAAACAGTTTACTGCTGCCTGCAGGAAGGTGTAAGTGATACTCAGCCAGCCACTCTGTTATATGACAATATAGGATTGGGGGTAGGGGGTATTTGGTTTTTATGTACTTTGAACCTGGATTTCATTCTGTAGTCCAGGCTAGCCTGTAACTCACTATGTATCCCAGGCTAACCTCAAATTTGTAGCAATCCTCTAGTCTCAGTCTCTCAAATTGCTGAGATTACAGATGTGAGCTACCACACTTGGGCCTGAAATTCTTTATTTAACTTTTTTTTTTTTTTTTTGAAGGTACATTTAGGTAAGCAGCCTATCTCAGACTGAGCTATATTCCCAGTCCCACAGAGTTCTGTTTTTATGTAAGATTTGATGAAGGGCTTTCTAAGTAATTGGCATATTATTCATGGATGAATGATCCAAGTTCTCCTATATCAGACGGAGTTTAAAAGATCCAGGCAGTTCAAAGTATCAACTGCTATCAAATTTAAGTATAGACCTATTTTTCAAAATATACATATTTTAAATTAAGATGTAAAACAACTGGTCACAGCAGCTCATACCTGTACTATCAGCACTCAAAAGGCTAAGAAAAGGGGATTGCTTCAAATTCTAGGCTAGCCCGAGCTATAGTGGGAGACGCTATCTAAAAAGAAAACACCCATGAAACAAACAACAACCAAATAAGATGTTAATGGGCCAGGCCTAGTAACGCACACTTCCAACCCAGCACTCTGGAGACAGAGGCAGGTGGATCCCTGTGAGTTCGATGCCAGCCTGGTCTACAATGGTACTTCCAGGTCAGCTGAGACTACAGGGAGACCCTGTTTTGAAAAATAAAATAAAATTCCAATCCAGCTCTTACTGTCACTGCAGAGTAATTCTAAAGTATATTTGTGGAAATTCAACCAAGGACTTTACTTTTATTTTGCCTTAACCTAGCAACTTTAATACCATTTTGCTATTTATTTATATTATTATATGTGGAATTTCAGGAAAAAATTCCTCTTAACAGGGCCTCTCTTCAATAGTAAAGCTGTAATCAGATCTAGCTTGACCTCTCCAGCTTAACTGCTTTGGTTCTAGTTAAACCATTACAGTGTATTTTTGCTCTGCAGTCAATTATTATGTGGCTTTCCAACACAGGAAGGTTCTTTGGGTGCAGCACATCTACAGAACAGATCTACTTTGACAAATCTTACAGATAAAAGAGGGACAGTAGGATGCTTCATCAGGTAAAGGTGGTATCAGCCAAGCCTGACAGCCACAGTTCAATCCTCAGGACACAGATGGTGGAGGAAGGGAACCAATTCCTATAAGTTGTCCTCTGAACTCACATGTGTGCTGTGGCTGCACATGTAAACACACACACACACACACACACTCACACTCACACACACACACACACACACACACACACACACACACACACAATAAACAAGCAAACATAATACAAATCATTTTCAAAGATTGCATAATGATTTGCTATTCGGTACCAATAACAACCCAGAAAAGCCCACTCAGAATCGGCCTCTGAGCCTCCTTGCATGCTGCTCCTACACAGTACACAGACATTCTACAGCATCCTCATGGCAATAAAAAACCTAGCAAGAAAAACGAACACAGAACAGCCAGGTGCAGTGGAACACCTATCATGCCATGAAGTGGAGACAGGAAGATTGTCACAGCATAGTGAATTCCAGGCCAAACTGCGCTAGAATGACATCCTGTCTCCAAAGCATCCTGTATCTACAAAGCATCTTAGTTTGCTTCAGCACTATCTTGGAGTAACTATTCATAATTACTATCCTGGAGTAATTATTCATAAGGCTATTTAACATATTCTACTCAGAAGCCAGATTGCTACATGCTGGCTTTCTACTCCGAGGGCAGGCGTATCACCTATTTTGTCCACCAGGAGCTCAGACAATCAGGCAGCTGCAGGTACTATTTGCTGAGGGACTCTGCCTAATGAGTGCTAAGAAGACAAGAAATTTGAACTTGCTATGAATGTTTACATAGAATTCTGGGCAGACATGTTTCTTTTTTATTCAGGGAATCTTAACTTATGAATGTATGTGTTATTTGACACGTCTTTGTTAGAACCCATTTCACAGACAGACGATAACCACGGTCCATAAGTCCTAGTCCTTTTAGGGAAAGTAGGTTTGAGTCCTGACTCTTTTCTGAGGCCTCACTATTTCTGTCACATTTCAAATGTCTGTCCCTCCCCCGCACACACACTAGCACCCTGAAACACCTCTGGGCTTTTTGTTAATGTTTTATATTTTTTCTATTCCCAATGAGTCAAACTCTATGCCAAGGAAATCAAATAAGTTTAATAGGAAGAAACAAACTGGGGGACAGTGTGGGAGGAATCATAGAAAGCTCTTATTCAAGGAAATCAAGAGAATGGAAAGACCAAATCAAATATCCCTGAAGAAAAGTAGTCTCTCTGTGACTGACTTGACTGCCCTGAGTGACGGTTGACCCTAGCTGCCCAGCTTCCAGGGCCACTGTGGGATCTAACTAAGAGCCAGAAGAGGAAACTCAACAGTCTACACATAAAGAAAAAAGCTTTAGTCAATCACCTTACAATTTGTTTATAGCTTCTCCTTACTAGAAGGTGGTCAGTAGTTGCTGTGGAGTTCCATGCCATCTTTATGAAATAATACACTTTCTAGATGTTCTAGAAGGGTCTCCTGAAAAAGGACACTTAAGATTTCAGTAAATTTTGCCCTTTTCTCAATTCCATAGAGATCCCTAGTCCACTTTCTCTCTCTCTTTCCCTCCCTCCCTCCCTCCCTCCCTTCCTCCCTCCCTATACCTGAGACTAAACCCAGGGCCTCTTGCATGCTAGGTAAGTGCTCTTCTACTAAGCTACAGCCACAGCTCTGTTTTTATTTGTTTGTTTGTTTGTTTGTTTGTTTGTTTATTGAAACAGGATCTTACTAAGTTGCCCTAATTGGCCTTGAACTCACTCTATTGCCCAGGCATGTCTTAAATTTGTGATCCTCCTGCTTCAGCCTCCTGGGTGTCTGGGATAACAGGCCTGTACCACCACACCTGGCTTCCAGTTACTTGTCACCAACCATCACTTTCTGTGCATGTAATATTTAAGTGTGACCTTTGATAACTAGTGAATGTTAAATACTACATCAAAAGTAAATGTTTAAGCCAGCCTGGGCTACATAATGAATCCCAAAGAAAGAAAGGAAGGGGAGAGAGAGACAGAGACAGAAAGAAAAGAAGGAAAAGGAAAAGAAAGAACAAAGCCAGATGATGGCAAATTCCTATAAATCTAGCATTTGGGAATGTGGACACAGGAGGATCAGAAGTTAAATGCTAGCCTTGGTTGCATAAGGAGTTCAAGGCCAGTCTGGGCTACATGAGACCCTTTTTTGACATACCAAATAAACGAAATTCCAAATGAAACAAAACCCAAGCAAACAAACAACCAAAACCAAACATCATGGTGTGTCTTTGGTGGGCTATGGTCACCTAAGCCCCAAAATTCAAAGAACTCTTCTAACACTGAAGTTAACAGGAAAGGAAAGGCAACTGGTTTAAAGACTGTAACAACGATCACAGTTATTAGACACAGGTATACATAACTTTAAATATTAATTTCTACTGTACTCCTTAGTATTCATGTAAAGATAAACCAGTTCAGTCTCTCCTTGAAAAGGTAATTTTCCATAATTAAAAAAAGATATGAGATACTCCATCACCCTCCATACCCAGAACCACCCTAAAATCATTCTAGGCCTTAGGAAAGTCTAGGGACAGTGGGCCCATGCACTCTCAGGCTTAGGAGGAACAGCATCTTTCTTTCAGTGTGTCACACTGGGAATGTTCATGTTAGCATATCAGCAAAAGCCCTGGCAATAACCCTGAAAGAGAACTTGCATTTCATATTGAACTACTATTCCTATTAAATGACAAGAGTGAGTTTAAAGACACTGTATAGTAGCTTATTTTTAAAACAGAATAATAGTGTCAACGGCCATACCACCCAATTGTGCCTGATCTTGTTTGTCATCAAATAGAATAGTCCAGTTACAGTAGGCATATATTACTATAATTTTATATCAGTA